TAGACGAGATCCATGAAATACTGCAAAGAAGGAAGAGCCGAATCGCACAGTTGTTGAAGATCGGCGGCAGGACCAGACTGCCTCGCGCTGCTCTGCCCCAGCAACTGCGTCCTATCATGCGCAGTGCACAGAATCAGGCGCATGTGATTGGCTTTCATCCACCAATCAGCGTCCGTGCAGTCTCTGAAAGATACGGTGTTCACAAGAGCGTGCGGCTCAAAAGCGCCGATACCACCACTGGCGTCGCAGAGTACGCGGTTGACTCTGCTGGTGTGTTGCTCGAATGATGAACACGATGGGCACAAAACCTCCCAACGTCTCCTCGAAAATGCGAAGAACCGATGTGCGACCAGCGCCACACCATAGACCAATACAAAGCTGGCTCACGTTCCATGTCGGTCAATTATCTCACATGAGTTTATATGGTTGAAGCATCAGCGACGCTTGAGCTTCAAGCCGACGTTGACCTTGACGTGGAGCGGCGACGACTCGGTAGGCTGTTGAACGAAGCCGCTTTTGTCAAGGGGTCGTTTGGCGACGGTCCGCGCGCGGCCAGTGACGACGACCTTGTCTCGTCGGATGTGCTCGACGTCAAGACCACGAGCAAGGACTGGACGACGCACGCGTGCAGCGCGCCGCTGCGCAACCAAGGCCAGTGCGGTTCGTGCTGGGCGTCGGCTACCGTTGTTGCCGCCGAGTCGTGGTTTTCAGCGACAACCAGCGCCGAGAGGTGACGCCACATGAAGCCATTCGCCGTCCTCGAGACCAAGTGCTGCGAAACAGTGTCCATGACCAGTCGAGCACGCGGCGCCGTCGATTGCGTCAGAAGGACGTGTCAGTGCCAATGTCGGAGGCTCCGCCCGAGGTCGACTGATGTCAGACACGCGTGTGAGACGATCAAGAAACCTGCGGCTGCTGGCTTCGGTCGTCGCAATGCCAATGGCGCTTGTTGCCCGTCGTCTTAGCACCCATGGCGCCCGATCAACCTGACGCCGAGGACAAGTGGACCGTCGGCCGCAAATTCGATGATGGCAATCGTTTATAGTGTTCAATATATTATAACAGTATTTCGTAGCAACCCAAATAGTATGGTATGGTGCGGCGGGTTGCGATCGTGACACGCGCTCGTCGACGTGCGGCCAGCGAGGATTTCCTGGTGGCCAAGAGCGTCAGAGTGGTGCATGACGAGCCGTTGTCCGTTGCGCTGCCGACTGCGCTTCAAGTCCACGCATAGCACTGGCCAACGGTACAGCCACGTCGTGTAGCGAGTTCTCTGCGGACTACTAGCAGTCGGCTCCATGCAGCCGTGTGACTGCCGTCGCCGCTCGTGGCTGCAGAAACCTGCACTATCAAAGTACTTGCTTCCAGTCTTCAATAAGAGTGCGTATAAGAACAGGATGTACTAGTAGCAACCCCAAGGACCATCCAAGGACCATCAAGCGCAAGCGTCGGTGGTCGCGGGACGTCGAATGCCATGTTGAAGTTGGGTCTGTTGAGTCGACAGGTGGTCGTCGACTCAACGCCTGTGATTGGTCTTGTCGAGTCAACAGGATGCCGGAGCAAACCCGGAGAAAGATCGCCATCGTGCGGCCTCCCATTCTTCAATATCCTCATGGCCCTCCGCTTTGCCCTGCGGAAGCAGCCGCGCCGCCACGCGCGCCAGCTCAGCTCGTTCGCGGGCGACTACCTCAGCCTCGAGACGCGCGCCAACGGCGTCGCCATCGTGCGCCTCGACGACAAGCAGGCCAAGGTCAACACGCTCAATGCCAACATGACCAAGGAGATTGTCACGATGCTCGACACGGTCGAGAAGGACGCGTCGATCAAGTCGGTCGTGCTCATCTCGGGCAAGCCCGGCTGCTTCATCGCCGGCGCCGACATTGCGCAGCTCCAGGCCTGCACGACCGAGGCCGAGGTCCGCGCGCTCTCGACGGCTGGCCAGGGCTACATGGCCCGCATCGAAAAGTCGTCCAAGCCCTTCATCGCCGCCATTGACGGCTCGTGCATGGGCGGCGGTCTTGAGGTCGCGCTTGCGTGCCACTACCGCATTGCGTCGTCGTCCAAGAAGACGTCGCTTGCGCTCCCGGAAGTCATGCTTGGCCTGCTCCCGGGCGCCGGCGGTACCCAGCGCCTCCCCAAGCTCGTCGGTCTCCAGGCCGCGCTCGACATGATGCTCACGGGCAAGAACATCAAGCCGGAGAAGGCCAAGAAGATGGGCCTCGTGGACCAGGTCGCGGACCCGTACGCACTCGAGAACGCTGCGATCGCGATGGCCGAGAGCCTCGGCTCGGGCAAGTCGAAGAAGTCGAAGAAGACCAAGGCCTTTGTCAACCGCGTCCTCGAAGACACGCCGTTGCGCGCGATCGTCTTCCAGAAGGCGGGCGAGATGGTCGCCAAGAAGACGGGCGGCCACTACCCGGCGCCCAAGCTCATCTTGGAAGCGGTCCAGGCCGGCTACGAGTCGAGCGCCCGCGGCTACGAGGTCGAGGCTGCCAACTTTGCCAAGCTCGGCATGACGACGGAAGCCAAGTCGCTCATGAGCATCTTCTTTGGCCAGACGCAGCTCAAGAAGAACCGGTACGGCAAGCCGACCGCGCCCGTGCAGACGATGGCGGTCATTGGCGCCGGCCTCATGGGCGCCGGCATCACGCAGGTGTCGGCGTCGAAGAACATCCGCGTGCTCCTCAAGGACCGCGACGCCGCCGCCGCCTCCAAGGGCGAGGACTACGTGCGCAGCAACCTCGACGGCCGCGTCAAGAAGCGCCGCATGACGGTCTTTGAGCGGGACACGGTCATGGCCAACATCGTGCCGCTCCACGACCAGGACGACGTGTGGAAGAAGCACATGAGCCACGCCGACCTCGCGATCGAGGCGGTCTTTGAGGACATGGCGCTCAAGCACAAGGTCATCAAGGACCTCGAGCAGTACCTTCCCGAGCACTGCATCGTGGCCACCAACACGTCGGCGCTCAGCGTCGCCGAGATCGCGTCGGCGTCCAAGCGCCCGGAGAACGTCATTGGCATGCACTACTTCTCGCCCGTGCCGCAGATGCCGCTCCTCGAGATCATCCGCCACCCCAAGACGTCGGACGAAGTCGCCGCGCGCGCCGTCGACGTCGGTCTCCGCCAGGGCAAGACGTGCATCGTGGTCAAGGACGTGCCCGGCTTTTACGTGAACCGCTGCCTCGGCCCGTACATTGCCGAGACGCTCTCGCTGGTGCAGTCGGGCGTCGAGCCCGAGCGCCTCGACAAGATGGTCACCAAGTGGGGTCTCCCCGTCGGTCCCATCACGCTCGCAGACGAAGTCGGCATTGACGTCGCCAAGCACGTCAACGTGACGCTCTCGGCGGCGCTCGGCGTGCGCATGCAGGGCGGCAACCCGGCCATTTTCGACGACATGATCGCGGCCGGCATGCTCGGCAAGAAGTCGGGCAAGGGCTTCTTTATCCAGCCCAAGAGCAAGAAGGAGAAGAAGACGATCAACCCGGAGGCCATTGCGCTCGTCAAGAAGTATGCGCTCACGGACCTCAAGCTCACGGACGAAGAGGCGACCAACCGCCTCGTCTCGCGCTTCGTCAACGAGGCCATTCTCTGCGTGCAGGACGAGATCATTGCGACGCCCACCGAGGGCGACATCGGCGCCGTCTTTGGCATCGGCTTCCCGCCGTTCCTCGGCGGCCCCTTCCGCCTCGTCGACAAGATTGGCTCGCAAAAGTACAACGACATGATGCTGCGCTTCGCCGACAAGTATGGCGAGCAGTTTACGCCCTGCCCGCTCCTCCAGGACATGGCCAAGACCAACAAGAAGTTCCACAACTAAGCAATCATCTAAGAAGAATCACATTTACTAGTCTCTAGCGCTGCGTCTCGCGGCCCGTCCACGACGCCACGGCGTGGAGGAGCGTGGCGTCGGCGGGCGCCAGCGCGTCATGGCTCTTGGCCGCGACGTAGTTGAGGAAGGCGTCGCTGAGGCGCTGGCGCAGGCGCAGCATGAGGGTTGCGACCTCGCGCTCCATCTGGAGAGCGATCCAGCCGTCAATGACGAGGACAACGCCGTCGATGAACAACGCTTCCTCGTCCTCGTCGTCGTCGTTCTTCTTCTTCTTGTCGTCATCGTCGTCGACGTCGGGCAGCTCCTCGATGACGGCCGACGCGCCAACCATGAGCGCCAGCGTGAACGGATGCACCTTGGTCATCACCTGCGCCGTGCGCGCGTGCTCGGTCTGCATCATGTCGTGGAAGACGACCCACTCGCGACTCGTGGGCTTCTACTTGCAAGGTGAGCTCCCTTTCGGTCGAAGGCTTTGTACCTTGGGCGAGAGGACGGACGCACCCGCGCGACGCACCTAATCGCCGTGAGAATAGGATAGCAAGGCAAGCGGACCTTGAACTTGTCCTTGGTCGTGTAGTGGACCGAGCCAACGTCACGGTACATGAGGTTCGGGTACAGACCGGACGCGAGGACGGCCATGGCCATCGGCGGGCTCGGCGGGCCCACGGGCGGCGGGATCGTATACCCGAGGTTCGTGTACTCGACCTCGATCTGCTTGATGACGCCCGACGTGTGGTACAAGACGGGCTGGAGCAAGCCGTTGGAGCGGCAATAGTGAGTGCGGTCGCGGTCGGACGCGAGGAGGAAGCCGTAGATGGCCGCGTAGAGCACCCAGTGGTCGCTCTCGTGGCCATTCGAGAGCGAGGCCTTGACGAGCCGGCGCTGGTTGCGCTGCGCGCCAGACGTCCCGAGCTCCGACTCGAACGGCTCGCGGTAGCTTAGCGCACACGCCGAGTAGAGAATCGGCGCTGCGACGTCGTGGAAGGTGCCCAGCAGCAGCGTCTTGGCAATCGTGGGCGAGAGGCTCATCTGCGAGAGCTCCCACCCGAGGTACGTGAGCGACTCGTCCGAGTTGAGCGCCCCGAGCGCCTGCAGAGACGCGATCGCGCCCTCAACCACGTGGGCGAGCGGCGGGTCGGGCGCGAGGCTAAGGAACTCGCCAATGGACTCGAAGCCGAGCGAGTCGCCCGACTGCCACTGCAGCATCTGGATGGCCAGGACCGAGTCTTCCAGTGCTGTCGTGAGCAGCTCGGGCGTCAAGAAGGCCGGAAGCGACTCGAAGCGCTGTCGCGTGAGCAAGTGAAAGCAGACGCCGGGCGCGACACGGCCGGCGCGGCCCCGGCGCTGCTTGCAGTTGGCGTCGCTCACCCACTCGGTGTGCAGCGCGCTGTAGCCGTTGATGAGCTTGGACTGCTTCGACTTGCACGTGTCGATGACGTAAACCACGTCTTCGATCGTGACGCTCGTCTCGGCAATGTTGGTCGCGAGAATGATCTTCCGCGACCCCTTGGGCGGCCGCGCAAACGCTCTAAGTAACAATACTTGATACTTGGTTGATACTGGGACAAAAGTCGTACCGCTTCTGCTCCTGCGGCGAGAGGCGCGAGTGGAGGATCGCAATCATGCACTTGCGGAAGGCCGGCTGCATGTCGAGGACGTCAGCGATGGCTTGGATGTCGTCCCAGCCAGGCAAGAAGACCAAGATGGCGCCCTCGCCGTACGACACGGACATAAGGTGCCCCAACAGCCGCACCACAAGGTCGACATCGACGCCTACATGACCATGAGACAAGACACCAAAGCGTGACGCACCGCCGTCGATGCCGAGCGCGTCTTGCGAGAGCTGGTACGAAGACACGAGATTGTCGATGACGCTGGGCTTGGCGTGCGCGCGCTTGGCGGCAAGGCGGCGGGCCACTTGGTCGCAGACCGAGCCTTTAAGGACCGCGTCGTCCAATGGCGCTTCCATGTCTTCGTCCGCCGGCGCCGAGAGGAGGAGCGATGCGTCATGCGTCGACGTCGGCGGCGCCCACTGCCCGCCAAAGCACGTGGCCACGTGCATGCCAAAGTCCCCTTCGTCCGTAAAGTCGCACTTGCCGCACATGACGCAGGACGCGTCGAGCGCCTTCTGCTTCTTCTTCGGTCGCTCGTTGGTTGACGCCTTGGACTTGCCGCTCGGCACCGAGCTGTCGAGGAGGAGGAGGACGTCGTCGAGGAAGCAGGCTTGGACGGGGTGCATGCGGCCTTGGATGCTCACGATCGGGCACTGGCCAAAGTAGGCCGAGAACTTGTCGACCTGGATCGTCGCGCTCATGAGGATCACGCGCAGGTCCGGACGCAGCGGCAGGATGAGCTTGAGCACGACAAGCAGAAAGTCCGTGTCCTTGTCGCGCTCGTGGACCTCGTCGACGACAATGTGCGTGAACTGCTTCCCGAGCGGATCGCTCCCGAGCCAGCGCAGGAGCGTACCTACATAGTCCATCAACGACGACCACCACCGAGTGCAAGTGATACCGGTCGTGGCAAAGATGAGCTGCGTCGCAGCGTGCGAGTACTTGGCATCGAGCCGAATGCAGTACCCGACCTCCTTACCGACCTCGAGGCTCCGCTCATCGCTAATGCGCTCGGCAAGCGTGATGGCCGAGATACGCCGCGGCTGCGTCACGACGATGCGCCGTGCCGGGCCAGGCGCGTCCATGAGGAACTGCGGCAGCTGCGTCGACTTGCCGCAGCCCGTGTCGCCGGCGACAACGACCACCTGGTGCTTCTTCACGAGCGCCAGAATCTCGTCGCGGTGCGCATGCGCAGGAAGCGCGCGCTGGGACGTCGTGTACTTGTGCGGCGGCGCCACGGGCGGAAACGCCGACCGGAACGCCGCTCGCGGCTTGCGGAACGGCGGCGGCATGGCCATTTGAGCACCTACATAGCACGATGAGCATGCACGTGGACGTGGAGGTAGAGGTACGATCTGGCGATGGTGCATCGAGCGTCAAGACGTCCTGCATCTCTTGGATCGTGTCCATCGAGACGCTCAGAGGCGCCGGCGCGATGCGCAGCGAGACCGTCTCCATGTTGACCGTCGTCTTGGCGCGGCTCACGTGGATGAAGCGGTCGTCGCCCTTGCCTTTGCTCTTGGAGAAGAGTCCGTACTTCTTCGCAACTGTGTGGATATACCGGCGCTCCGTGTTGTCGAGCGAGCTCGGAAACACGACGTCTAGTCGCCTGCATGAGGAGGCGCCATACGCAGTAGGTCGACGTACGCGGAATCGACGGGTCGTTCATGAGCTCCTTGAGTTGCGTGGCAATGCCCATGCAAAACTCTTCCGAGAGCGCAATCGGCGGGCCGCGCCTACGCAAGATTGAGCGCATAGATCGCTGGGAGGACGCTACCCGCCACCGCGCCCACGACCGCCACCGCGTCCTTGTCCGGCGCTGCTGTCCGGCGCCGACCCGCGGCCACCGCGTCCACGTCCACGGCCTTGTCCGCGCTCCATCGATTCAATCAAACCGATTTTAAATTTTAAATTCAATCTCGCGTCGATGTTAACCGGTTATCGGTTCACGGTTGCGAACCGGTTCGAACCGCCGCCGATCGAGGACTTGCACGCATCAGCTGCACGCATCGCGCAGTCGCATACCCCAAAGCAAGCACCGAGCGTCCACCAGCGGTGCTCGTAGCGAGCTACCTGGGCGCAGAGGACCAGCGCGTCAAAGACTGTACAAGGAAAGAGACTACGATTTCGGGGATTCGGCCTCGCTGTCGCTGCTCGAGTCATAGCCCACGAGGCTTGGCTGCTTGGCCGTCTTGGCTCTCTTGGCGGGCAGCGCGGCTTTTGGCGCCGCTACGCGCTTGGTCGTCGTCGTCGTCTTCTTCTTTGGGACGATGACGATCGGCGCCGTCGTGGGCAGCACGGGCTTTTCGACGAGGTCCGGTACTTCCTGGAGGCGCGGTTTTGGGCCTTCTTTCCTCTGAAACGCGTAGAACGATCGAACCGCGTCCTTCTCCAGAGCGCGCTCGCGCTCCTCCTTCTCGCGGCCGGCCTGTGCCTGCTCAACAAGGTACAGCCGGTCCGACGGGTCCAAGAAGCCCCGCCCATCGTACGGCGCGCCATCTGTCATCATGGCGCCGCTGTCCATGGCGGCGACCTGGTCCATGAGCTGGCGCCCGGCCTCCGTCGTCACGTCGGGCACAGAGCCCTGCATGACATGGTACTCGGTCCGTGGAGCGTTCATCGTCGCTTTCACTGCCCGTATCCGGACAACCGGGGAGTTCCGGATAAAATGAGGTACGGTTTAGCGTAAATCCTGCGAATCCTCCAGATTGGTCCTCGGAATTCTCGGTGCAAATCCCTCACCATTTTCTCACCGCTTGCGTGAGAAGCCTTGCTAGGACAGTACTCACTCGAGATTGGTATCAATCATCTAGGGCATACAATAGATGCCAGAGCGCTTCTTGCGCTTGATCTTCCTTATTCTTGTCGAGGACCATTTTCCGGATAACTGCCGCTTATTCGTGATGGCCGCCGTTTATTCCTGATGCGGTGGGTGCAATTCCTGATCATCGAATTCACCTTCACACATTGGCCAAAATGCAAGCCACAAGCCAATCAAACGCGTTAAAATCCTGCTGGCTGCCAATCGCAGTATCCGCTCGATTTAGCTGTCTCAGATCCGAAGAGAGACGACGGGTCATGTTGAGAGTTGCCGTAGCATGAACCATGTGCTTGGGTCCCGGGATCTGCTCCTCGTCATAGCGTCCTACCAGCGAGGCTTCGACCACGAGACGCTCGTGCTGCGCCGGCTCCTCCGCGACGTCCGGCTGCACGACCTCATCCAGCTCCAGCAGAAGAACGCGCCGCAGTACCGCAGTGCGTGCGCCGCTGCCTTTGGCCCGTTCCACGACCGGCTCCGGCCGCGCAGCTTCGTGTACGACTGGGGCCGCCTCCAACTACGCTACCACATCCAGTACTATGGCCTCGTGTACGGCCACCTCAGCATCGTGCAGTCCATGACGCCGTTCGACTGCAAGGTGCTGGCCTACACGCAATGGATCGTCGCCGCCTTCTTTGGCCACGTGCATGTACTCGCCTTCCTCTACGAGCACGACCGCGCGTGCTACGACACGCGTGCGATGCGCGTCGCATCCTCGAACGGCCACCTGGACGTCGTCCGCTTCCTGCACGAGCGCGGGTTCCCGACCGACCGTCTCATGCACCTCGCGTGCGTCGGCGGGCACCTCGCGCTCGCCCAGTACGCCCGCGACATGAAGCTCGACTACGGCGTCGGCACGGCGACCATTAACTTCACCGCCAGTAACGGCCACGTCGAGACGCTCCGCTTCCTCCACGAACATGGCTACGAAGGCTTCTCGTCGTGCGCGATGGACGCCGCCGCACGCCATGGCCACGTCGCGGTAGTGCGGTTCCTGCACGAGGCGCGGCCCGAGGGCTGCTCTGAGAAGGCGCTCCTGGACGCAGCCCAGCACGGCCACGTGCAAGTGGTGCGCTTCCTCGAGGCGCATTATACCGCGCTGGACGTCGCCGGCGCGGCGCGGGTCGCGGCGTACATGGGGCATATGGAGGTCGTCGAGGTGCTTTTGAAGCGACGCCGCCGGGAGATCGAGCTCGGCGACGTTGAAAAGGCCGCGCGGCAAGGCAAGATCGCGGCCTTCTCGGACCAGCGGAAGCGCGCGTGCCAGATGATCATCGAGTACGCCGGCGGCGGCCACCGCGCCAAGAAGCGCAGCGAGAGCGCGGATTCGTGTCGTATTCAGTAGCGTATTATGAGCAACATGACGTGTAGTTGTTGGACGTGCCGCCTGTCTAACGCGTCGTGCGTTGAGCCGTTGCCGGTTCGAAGGTCAAGATGGGCGATCTGCCGCAGAGTCATTTGCCGATTCCATGGCTTCCGAGGTAGGACCTCTACCGATGCACTCCTTGCCGTACGAAGTCGCATCTAGAGTATGCCGCCTTGTATCGTGGGACTGCTCCAGAGCCTGCAACCGTCGTCCGACTGGACGATCCGCGTGCAGGTAAATGGTGCTCGTAGCGCTTAGACGACAACCGTGGACTAGGCGCTGCGAACGATCGCCGAGTGGGCGACGTGGGAGCGTAGTCAGAGCTCCCACTGCTTTCTCAACGGCGTGCACGAGCTTCGAGACGCGATTGCCAACCACGTGTGCGACTTGCGCTCGGCGGTCGTCAAGGAGGCCTGCGCGACCATCGCAGTGCTCGCATCGACGATGAAAGAGGCCGCGTTCCAGGCCCACATCGACGTCTTTCTTTCGAGTCTTCTCAAGGCCGTCGTCGCCTCCATCGAGGTACGGCCTTCCTCGACGAACCTCGAAACAAAATGGCGTAGGTGGTGGCGCAGGCAGCCGACGACTGCATCCGGACCATGCTCCAGAACACACGCACGGGCCACTACTCGGTCTTGCCCAAGTACGCTGCTCTTCCCATGGAAGGCTACCGCTAATGCAAGGTGTGCAGGCTGACCGAGGCGGCGGCGTCCAAGAGCCCGACCTTGCGCCGCGTTTGCATCGAGTACTTTGACGTGATCACGGTGGCGTGGAATGCCAAGTTTTTGCTACGGTACCCTACCCTCAACAATCGTTGACCGTCTTAACCTCCACGTAGACACAATGTGCCCGACTGCATGGCCAAACACCTCTTGCTCGGTCTCTGCGACGCCAACAGCGCAGTCCGCGCCTCCAGTCGCAAGACGTTCTGGACATTCCAAGCACGGTTTCCGGTATGATCCGCCCTCTGCGCTCAGAAGTGACGCGGTGGCGTTTAGGGAAAGGCCAAGCTGGTCTGGGAGAAGCTTGAATACACAACGAAAAGCGCGCTCCTCCAAGGCGGGTCCGTGGCCGCCTTTGACGACAAGAGCATTCACTCTCCCCACGAAAGCGACGTGAGCAGTCAGACCAGCTACGGATTGAGCGCGGTCTTTGCCCGTTTGTATCAACCGCACTACTTCCAAGACCGCGCGCTGCGGCTCGCCAAGCTCAAAGAGGAGCAGGACCTGCGGCTGTGTACCTTTACCCCCGCGAAGAGGCGTCTCCAGCGCACCAAGAGCAGCAAGGGAAAAGCTCTCAGCGTCACACTGCCGTCGCCGCCGCCGTACGCAGAGATAGTGTCCAAGCGCCACGCCTCGACGGTCGCCTGCAGCTAATTCAGATGTGTGATTCCATGACGTGGCAATGTCTGTCCCTTGGAACCAGGGAGCCCGTCTGCGATTGGGCAATTTAGTAACCAATCACCATTACGCAGCTGTGGGTTTTGGCAAATCACATTAGAGGCGAAGATGACACGTGCTGCCAAGACCGCTCGCGTGACGCCCGACGGGCTACTGCAGCCCGGCCTCATCGAGGCGATTGCGCGCTTCGTGCCGTCGGCCGACGACTTTATCGACTTTGTTGAAGCCTTTCCTGAGGAGCTCTGGACGCCGGCGCTGGCCGCGTTCATGGCTCTCTGCGACTTCCGGCACCCCGACCTCCAGGTCCATTGGCCGTGGATCGAGGTCAACGACACGGAGCTGCCGCCGGAGCTGCTGGACCTGCTGCGCAACGTTGCGCCGCTGCGCCTACCTCTTCACATGAGCGGTACCGTGCGTCGTCTCCAGGGACTACCCGCTCTCATAGCAGCCGCCAGTCCACTCATCACAACCCTCGTGGTCGAGTTCGAGGCCGAGATGATGAGCGCCGGTGACGGTCAAGCGATCGCCGATCTAATCTTGCACTGCCCATTGCTGCATACGCTCGACGTCACGGTCATGTCGGACGTTCAGAACGACAACGAGGTCTCCGAACTCCCGGCGCTACTGCATGCGATCCCACACCCGGCTGTGCGCCAGCTGATCCTGCACTTGCATCAAGCGCGTGCTGTGCCTCAGGTCGGGTGCCTAGTCGCGCAGTGGCTGCGTACAGTGCCGGGCGACGAGCTCGTCTTTTCTCGAGCGCCAGGATTGGACCCGGAGGACGTGCCGACGCTCTGCGACGCATTCCAAGCCAACTCGACGCTCACCAAGATCTCAGTGCACGACGTGCCGGGCCTTGACGGCTTTCACGGCCGCCGACTGCCGCGCACGTTGCGCAGCTTTTCGTGGAACGTTTTTGTGAGTCGGCTCGACGACCCGCCCGCCCCGACGGACGCCATTCTGGACGACCTCGCACATGCTCTCGAGCACACCAAGCTCGAGAAGCTCGGCTGCAACGACATTGGGAAACTTCGCTGGCGTCTGCCCGCGTGGACGCTGGTCGATCACGTGCAGTCGATCGACTGCTTCATCCGCAACGAAGCCCACATGGCGGAGCTCTGCGTCGTCCTCCCAACGCTCCCGGCGCTCACCTCCATCTCGATGCGGCTGGCTATGTTCAGCACACCGATGCTCATTCTTCTTATCCGGACTTTGACGCGCTGCCACGTCACGAAGCTGGACATCTCGTGTGCTTCGTTTGGCCGCGAAGCCCTCAAGGTCTTGCTGGCTGCTGTGCCCGATCTCCCCACGCTGCAGTCGGTCCACGCGGCTTCGAATCTCTGGACCAACCTCGATTTGTTTCACCTCTGCCGAGAGCTCGTAGCTGCGGGACGCCACCTTGAGGAGCTCGCGCTCGCTGAATACATCACGTACGGCGCTGCCGAGAACACCACCAACTACGATGCCGTACTTCGGATGGTCTCGCTCGTCGAGAACCCGCCATTTGTCGTTCGCAACCTGCCCAGTCATATTGAAGATGACGTTGCTGAGGCGCTCTCGCCATCGGAAGACTCGTCCGGCCGCTGCAAGCTCTCCTTGCGCCTTGCGTCGTAAAAGCACTCTTCATTCTCCTGTAAGCAATAATGTAACATGCAAAGACTTTGGTGCACTCGATTGTCACTTCTACAAGGTCTACCGCCATCGCTGAACGCTCCGAACCGCTCCATCCGATGGCAATTCGTCAAAACGTTCGTGCCGGGGGTGCATAAATTT